CTGCACCCGGCTGCGTCGCCTGCGCACACAGGCTCGGCAAGTCTGCACCCGGCTGCGTCGCCTGCGCACACAGGCTCGGCAAGTCTGCACCCGGCTGCGTCGCCTGCGCACACACGCGCGGCAAGTCTGCACCCGGCTGCGTCGCCTGCGCACACACCTGGCAAGTCTGCACCTGGCTGCGTCCCCTGCACATGTTCTTTTACGATCCTGGTGTCGGAGGGCACGTGCAGGTACCCTGTCGTCTCCCTGCATGCATGTGCCCGGCTCCCCAAGTGTCTCACCTGTGCCATCGGGGGTGGAACGCACGAAGGTGGGAAGCATCTTCACGGCGGCGGTGGGGTTGGTGTCGCGGCCGAGACCTTTGTCCATCTCGCGGCGGAAGCGGAGGGAGATGTCCATCAGCGTCTCGTCGGACAGCCGCATGTGATAGAGGTACTTGTCGACCTGAGACAGACAAGCGCACACACGGTCAGAGTGCTCCTCTGACAAACCAACACAGGGAGTCCGATTTCCCGCTCCAAGAAATTTGCAAACTATGTGACTACAAATTTTTAAATGAGGCACTGAAGCAAAAGGTTTAGAAAAAAGAATACTGTACATATTGTACAGCTCAGCAGGGAATTTTGATAGAGTACAACTTCTGGAAAATCAACACCAGCAGGCCCCATCCTGTTGTCCACTGACCCCTGGTGGTCCACAAAACTACTACAGGGGGTCTACTGAAAAGGAAAATGCAATCTTTACCATGAACCGTATTTAAGGCTAAAACTGGCATCATTCCAACCTGACGTCCTGTTTTTGAGGTCAGCTCCTTAACACTTACACAGACCTTATTTTTTTCGTTTCTTGTTTAATGAAAAGAGGTGGCTGTACTCCCATTCTGTTTGCAAAAATAAACCAAACAACTGTAACACTAACATGAATCCTGGTGGGAGGGCTCCATTCCACTGTGTTAATTTACTAAAAAAAAAACCTACGACAACCAATTTGCCCACTCCAGCTGCTGTAGCTTTTCAGGGGTGAGCTTATTTAAACACGCAGGACGATGCAGAGTGTATCAGTACAGGCAAAGTCAGAAACAAGTAGTGGTGAATTCATCACACCCTCCCTTCCATTCCTCTCCCAATCCCCACTCCTGGTCTAAGAGAGTGCCGGGCCGGCAGGTTTCAGAAGTCAGACTTTTAAAACAATTTCTAAAGGCCAGGAATTACTATGACCAATGAGGTGGGGGTGTTCCATTAAGTCATTCGGAGATCATTTGAAAGAAAAATCTGAAAATCCTCCAGCCCTCAAGGACCAGAGCTCTCTCCATTGAAACATTACTTATTCATTGATCAACGGCTTAAACCAGTGCTCCCTGATCTTTCAGTACCAGGTGATCCTGGTGACCTAGAAGACTAACAGGACTGGGGCTGGACTAACGGGACCCCTACCCTAGACTCTCACAGCTCCCCTTGCACACTATACACACCCCACAACCCCTGCCTGTATGGAGGGACAATTTCCTCTGACTGGGGCAGCCCTGCCACAGGACTCGGGTTCCAATGAGCAAGCAAAGAGGCACCATGCAGGTTTCCCTTCATTTGCAGCTTTGCTCATGTTTTGCGCATGTCGCGGCAGGCCAGAACATCGGCACCAGGCTTGCGGAGCCCTCTCGGCTTGACTGCTCAAGAAGAACTCTGCAATGAGCCTTAATCACGGGGCCTTTCGGACAGCAGAGTCACACTGCTCACCCCACCCACACTCGAGTAATTTCTTGTAAAACCCGTTCCCTCCCTGGAAGCGTCTCTCACAGGCAGGAGGCCCAGTTCCGCTGACGCACTTTTTAAACAAACTCCTCCAACAACAGGCCCCCCTGCCTCCACTATAAACCTGATCCGGTCCCAGTCCTGACGGATGTTCAGTCTGTAAGGACCGAAGTACCTGACTGCAGCAAAGGAGTAACATGGGGGTTTGTAGCAACGGCGGTCTAGTAAACAGATGCTAAATAACACCCACTCTAGAGTATCCCACCGAGTTCCTGTACAAGTGTTTTTGACTGAAAATGACCTAAGGCATGTGGCTGAAAAATGAGAAAGTGTGTCTTGAGCACAGCCATGCAGATTCTCAGTAAACCACTCCTTGCAGGGCAGATCTGGACGACAACTGGCTGCAGTTTTTTTCTTTCAGTCCCTTGATCATATTAACCTGTACTCTCGCCTGAGGACCTACACGCCCTCTCATGCCCCAGTAACCCCAGGTCTGGGCACCCTCTCTCGCCTCAGGACCTACACGCCCTCTCGTGCCCCAGT